TCCTCAAAATCGCAGTGCCAGGCACAACTTGGTACTGGTTACGGTGTCAGGATGTACCTGGCAATGTAGCATCTTCAATGACTACCTTTTCCTGTGTGTAGCATCTTTGATGACTACTTTTTCCTGTTGCCATTAGAGTGGTAAAACCTTATGAAGGTTTCTGATTGCAAATACTATATAAGCAGCATCCTCATATTCTCTCATTAGATCAGTTGTGTTCAGCTGTGCCTTATCCAAGCCTGAGCTTGTTGAGTTGTTATTCGTTGTTATCTGTTTATTCCTGAAATATTTCTTAATTGTTTAAACTAGGAATTCCTAATAGGAATCCTGGTCCTGTCCCGGACTGACCAACTTGTTTCATTTATCCAACACTCTACACCAAATTATATTGAAGACTCTGTCCTCAATATATTGGAACTGTGCATTATTGATAGATGTTCTACCTGCAGGAATTGGGAGAATGCCATTGCAAATGCCTTGTCATTGCATTCACCCAACGTCAATAAAGCAAAGGGCATTATTGGCAGCAATCAGCCCCATTTGGACAATGACGCTGCAATGGCGTTGCCAATGCCAATGTCAAAACGTTCCGCAGCCCAACGCCCCCATTCTTTGCTGGGAAGATGCCTATTCCCTTTCGCTTATAGAATAAAGAAAAATAATAATCTGCATTTGTATTTTACTTCTTTTTGGAACACGTGTTATAATATTTTGCACCAATTTGATAACAAAGAGGCCTTACAAATTGACTGGCAGGTTTGACCCAAATGGGATGTTCAAGTTAATGAGGTTTGACTTGCAATGGGGTAAAGAGAATCAGCCAAGGATTTTTGAACAGCAACTTCAAATCAGGGAGATTTTTTACTTGAGGAAGTTCAACTGTAGATAAATATGTTGTGTTTTTTCTTTCTTGCAGAGACTTCCAAAAAATTAAAATGAATCCAAAAGCTGTGAAGTTTGCATAATGCTATATGTTTTTGGTCTACTATCCTCAATTAGGCTCTGTGTTATTGTTACAAATGCAGATTGTGTGATTTGATTTTGTCATTATTCTGGACACACATGATAGGAAGATTTGAAATTCAATTTAAGCCCCTTTTTTCTGTTTCCCACATTATCATTTCTTTTTTGTTGTTGAGGAAATTCATAGTTATGTGGAATCATAGTTTAAACAAGGTTCACATATGAAATTCAAAGCTTGAAAGTTGGCTAAATATTTTTTTCCAAGAAGAAAATACCAAGAAAATGAACAGCTGCTATCTTCAAACCTTTTTTTCTGTTTCTCTTCCATATGCCTCTCATATGGAAAGAGAAAATTTATGAAAGAGGACTACTTTTGATCCCTTTTCTCCCCATACCAATTTCATCAACAGGTGGTGGTTGCTCTCCTTTGCCTCACAGCACTAAAATTACTGAATAATGATGGTCACAAAAATGTGAGAATGTGGAACAAGAAGCAGCTATTGAGGCTCAGCTGTAGGATGTGTAGCCAAAGTCACAAGCACATATCAGTTAACACTGATTCTGATACTCAAGTATTTGGATCAACTGTTTTTCATTTTTTCCTATTGAAGCCTCCATGGAGAAGAATTTCTTTTTTAAATCATGGTAAGTCCACTGAAAGTAAAATATTTATGCAATATCAGAAATTTATTATGCAAATTAGGAGCTGAAAGGAAAAAGAAAATTTGTATTTGAGGCATGATGTTTTCATTAGGTAAAACCATCGTAGTTCCAACTACAAAATAAAGTCTCAACTTAAACTGTCTGAAATGAAGAAAAAACTCAGATCAATTTTCATGTGAATTTACTCAGTGAATTTGAAAGAAAGATTATTGCCCCTGTTTAGGATGCCTATTTTCTTCATGAGAAACCATTTTTCATATAGTGGTTAAAAACTTTGATTAGCAATAATGTACTGTATTGTTTGATGGTCACACAGATTAAGAATGCAATATGCTCTTACATCAGTAATAAATTTGTGATTTATTTAAATTTCAGAAAAAAATGAATATTAATGAAGATAACTGACCATCTGCATAAGCTGGTGGGAGTAGGCGCTTGAAGGCACTCTGGGCTGACCCCCAGTGGGGTTTCTCCAGGTTGTTGCAGAGCCCAGTGTAGGTCCTGTACCTTTTGGGTTCACAAGCTGGGAACTTGAGGAAGTAGGGGCAATATTGGTCAATCACTGTCTTGGTGGTGTCAATTAGTGGTAGTCCATTTGTGATGGCATCTGCTGGCAGTGAATACCTAGTGGAGAAAAGAAAAAAAAAACCTCATTTATTGTCCCATTCCTAGAATAAGCATAAATTTTTCTGAATTCCTTGCTGTATTGATTCATTGAAATACAAGCTTTATTTTCCATTTGTCAGTGTTCAAAAGGTTTAAAAAAAAGTTTCCCAGATCCCATCATCCTTGCTCTATATGTTCAACGTCAGAATATTGTATATAATCAGCATTCACATACTTTTCTAACAAAATGATGTACTATGTATGATTTTATAATCTAGCACCTCAGTAAAATCTCCTCACAACAAATTATTTTATTCTGCATTTGGAATGAAGTCTGAATGTCTTTTTAGATCAAGTTATTTTTATGTTTTAACAAAGACAAAGTTCACTATGTGAGATTATTTTCTACATGGTGAACCTTGTTGTTTTTATTGTTGGTAATGTATTGTGGTATGGCCATAAAAACATAGGATTGGGGTAATTTATTTATGATTGTGGAACAAAGAAGAAGCTTTTTGATTAATAATCTCTATACAGCCACTATTTTTCATTGATAATGATTTTTTAGGGTCTTTGGAGATTTTTGTGATGAGATTTCATGAGTATAATGAGAGGAGAAAATGAAGGAAAAAATTTGAGGGTTTCCTGTTTTGTTCTTACTGTCTGGAGATGATCCTAGATGTCTCCAGAACGACTCTGGCGATCTGGCCCACATCTTTATTGGACAGGTCCCGCTGGCTGGGAGCAGGAAGTCCAAGTCTGCTTTTGGCCTCATGGAATGCATGGTTAATGGATTCGTATGTTATGCATGTGCCTGGTCCATCATACGCCCTGCAACAAATAAAAAGGAGAAAAATTTTTATTCATAAATTCAACCAGCTTCAGAGTGATTCCACAAAAGCTATCCTTTGCTATGAAATTTCAAAACATTTATAAACTACAATATGTAAAATTATCAATATAATTCCAAATGAAAAGTAAATTTGATTGGATTACACCTATTTTTGAAAATAAGTCTAACATATGTAATACAGTATTTTAAAAAATATGTAAAATAGGCAGGGAAAATGAACAATTCACATTTCATTTGAGTATACAGCAAATTGTTTACTTGGAACTGTCTAAATTTCTTACATTGAAATTTCTGCTTTGAAGATGTGCATTTTCCAAAATATTAGCAACAATCTTTATCTGTAATTTAGGAAATACAAAAAAATTGACATTATCTGATGAAAGGTGAAAAATGGCTTTTATCCTAATAAATCTACAGACAAATTTGCATGCGCTGAAATTAATTATTTTATTTTTCTATTCTGAGGAACCTTTCTTCAAGCCCCTTTTCTATTTTTTTTTTAAAGAGATTCCACTATAGCTGCTTCATTGATTCCTAATTCAATTTTTGCAAAAAAGAAGAAACTTCTTGAAAAAAAGAGCCAGAAAGTCTTTCAAGCAAAAAATTTTTGTGTCAGCAAAAATTGTATGAAAATTAGCCAGTCTGCAGAAAATGGAAATTTGCTGGTCTGCAAAAAGTTTCCTGAAAATTTGCTGGTTTGTGGGCACAAAAAGGTTGGGGAACTTTTGTTTACACAATAGCTCATCAGAACATAATACTGTACTGTTCAGTTTTAAGAAATATGAAATTCCATGCAACTTTCCAGTTGCTCTGAAATTTTTTTGTTCTTGGACTTGGGATATTCCTGGTACATTCTATGTGGAATCATCATTCTGAATTTTTAAAATCTAGATCCAGTTCATGAAAGGATATTTCAGGAAACTAGGAGAAATCACTGAAGGGCCTCAACAGAATCTTCTCTTCTATCATCTCTCTGTAATGTGTTGCATTTTTTCAAATAAATTTTCATTAGCCAAACAAGAAGTATTAAAATCACCTAATTTACACCTAAAAGCACTTCAAAAATCGTCCCCAAAAATCTACAAAAAATTAAAAATCTTGCAATAGGACAGTAGTCTTAGGTGGGACATTGAATTCACTGTGAAACAGCTAGTTGCTGAGTTTTTCTGTTGGGACTTCAGAAATAAATAAAAAAGGAATAAAATAAATAAATATAAAATTAAAAAAAAATTATAATTCTGCTTAGGAAATTTCTGGTCTATATCAAAGGCTAAAATTTCTGTTTCATTTTTCAATCCGCCAATTATTCTGAAAAGAAAAGGAAAACCTCTCAAGTTAGCTCCAACAAAAATTCAGAGTAGCAATTTCTCCACAATTTTGATTTCAGAAATTTTCTGCTATTATCCCACCACTTGAAATGGCGAGAATGAATTTCCTGTAAATTTGCAGCATGGTGGTGAAGGCGATTAAATTTGTTCCAGGTGACCCAGTTATCGCTCATATTACACACATTTCCCTTCTTTTAAATTAAGCTCAAAATTAGGTTCGAAATTGGACTAGGAAAATGCAAAGGAGTGAAACTTGGTTTTTGCTGCTGGGCTTTAATTATAATTCATAATCTAGCTTGAAAAATTGCGCAAACCATAGGGAAAATGTCACATTAAAACAGTCTCTTTTATCAGCCAAACACAAAAATAATCCAACTTGAATTTTAATTCAAATCATTTACAAGACACACAAGTGGAGTAAAATATTTCCTCTGTTTTGGTTAATTTCCAGGTTTTTTTTCTCTTAAATCTGGCTTTTCAATGAAAATGATTTGATTGATCTCATTCTGCAAATAATAAATTACCTCTATTAGTATTTGTAGCAATTTGCAGTAAATTATACACTTTCCTTGCTTGCCATATGATGATTGTGCAAATCTTGATTTTGTGGAAAATTGCTTGAGGTCATTCAGCAGAAAATTATTGAATTTTTTGCAATTTATTGTGCAACAGCATTATTTCCCCTTACCCTCTGAACTTCATGCCTGTTGTTCAAGCACCATTACTTCACATCACATTTGCATTATATATTTTCAATATCAGCATTGTGTTTGAAATTTTAATGAGGTCCTTCATTATTTGAACAGGACTGTTTTCAAATCTTCATGAAATATATAAAGGAAATAATATAAAATATAAAGGAAATATTGGTGACAACAGAAATCAACTCTGAGTTGGTGAACTTGGTCTGCTTTTTCTCAGCATCAAAGCTATTCACAGGCTCACATAATTTATTTGTCCCTCCAGTTATTCAGAGTGTGAAAAATGGTTTGAAAGTAAATTGAAAAGTGAAGGTGACTTGGAACTTGTATCAAGGTGAAACAGAACAATTGTATTTTGTTAAGCTTCAATGCTGCTTGCACAATCAGTGAACTATAAAAAATTGAACCAAGTTTTGAACAGCAATGTTTCTTCAGTGATAACAAAAAAAAAACTGAATGAGGATTGGATATTAAATACTGTAATGTAAATTAATGAATCAATATACAATACTTTAAAACTGTACATCTGTTGGGCATGCACGCTAACGTACAATACAATACTTGGAGATCATTTTCATTTTTTAAATACAGTACCTAATTTTTTAAATCTTGAAGGTACAGTGGATCCTCAGTTAACACACTGCACAGATGAATAACTTTTTGGTTGAAACATTTTTGGTTCAATAGAAAAACCCCTTGGCTAACAAACCAAAATTTGGTCACAAACCTTTTCTGCTATGGAAAAATTCCAAATTTGAGAATTCAAACCTTGATTTTGAGGCTGGAATTTATGGTAAACCCCAAGTGAAAATATTTCACCTATGCAACAATATAAAAATTATTTCCTCCTCTCACACTTTAAGATGTGCAATCTTGTATTTTAAAATTTTCCAGCTGCATTATTCATGAGCTTTTCTTTTACAGAATTACTGTATTTGCTTTTCTGTGCTTGGGTTTTCTAGTTTTTCATTCACCAAAAAAAATCTCTATTTGATCTTCACTTGCAGCAGTGAAAAATTAAATTTCATTTTTGCCTGCCATTTATCCTTCAATGGGTGTTTCTCTGGATGTTGAGTTTTTCTTAAATCTATGACTTCATCCGTGCTACTTCCATTAAAAACTAGCTATAAAAGCATTCAGAGCACATACAAGATGCAACAACAACTTATTCTGATTATAGTGGATGGTTTTGAATTTTTTTATATTGCATGTTCAGTTGTCTTTTGGGTTCACAGAACAGATAAAATTCTTCCCCATGAAAGTCTTTTTGAGGATCAAATTTGCTGAACTTTTTGGCTAACAAACTTTTGTCTGGAACCAATCAAGTTTGTCAACTGAGAGTTTGCTGCACATTGGAGTTGAAAATAAATGAATCCAAATCATCCAATAAAAATTTGAATAAAAGAGGCTTGAAGAATGAGATAGAACTCCATACCCAATGGCATTTGAGAAGCCCCCAAGGGGAAAATCAACCCCAGCTGACTTTCCAGGCCCTGGAATAATTAGTGCACAACCATTTTGTTCCCCTGGTCTTGGTATCCGTGCTCCANATAAATGAATCCAAATCATCCAATAAAAATTTGAATAAAAGAGGCTTGAAGAATGAGATAGAACTCCATACCCAATGGCATTTGAGAAGCCCCCAAGGGGAAAATCAACCCCAGCTGACTTTCCAGGTCCTGGAATAATTAGTGCACAACCATTTTGTTCCCCTGGTCTTGGTATCCGTGCTCCAGCATATGGTGCAGATGCTGGTCCCTGTCAAAATAGTGTAAATAAAATAAAACAAAATATCATGACAGGCCTTTACTTGTCAAATTCTATATTGATTGCAAGTTTCATACACATCAGAAAAGAACTAAAAGCTCTCCAATCAAAAATATTTCATAGAAATAAGTTGAATGAGGTGACAAAAATTTATTTCTTTTTTCAGTGCCCATTTTTGAATTTGCAGTTTTGGCAAAGTTAACACTATGTGTTGACTTCTTGATCCAATCAGAATCAAAAGCAATACACAGTGAGTGATGATAAAAAAAATACACCAAAGGCCAAAGTTCCACTTGAAAGTACTGTTGCATTACATACCTTTCATCAATTATGCCTTCAATTTTCAGAAATATGTTTGATAACAACATTGAATGATTCAAGTGATTTTATGAATTGATTATTGCTGTGTTCTAAATTTGCATGCAGCTGAAAGAAGCCAATTACTGTATACATTATTTCCATTGGTCTACTTTGCAGAAAACCCAACTGCTGAGGTAATGGATTTGTCTTATGATCCACAATAAGAGGATTAAAGAGGCAAAACAAACTCTTAAATTTGACAGGCTTCCCTTTTACAATAAAAATGGAAGAAGTTTAAGATTCTGGCACTGTTTGAAATCACTTGGGGTTTACCATAAATTCCAGCCTCAAAATCAAGGTTTGAATTCTCAAATTTGGAATTTTTCCATAGCAGAAAAGGTTTGTGACCAAATTTTGGTTTGTTAGCCAAGGGGTTTTTCTATTGGACCAAAAATGTTTCAACCAAAATGTTTTTCATCTGTGCAGTGTGTTAACTGAGGATCCACTGTACCTTCAAGATTTAAAAAATTAGGTACTGTATTTAAAAAATGAAAATGAACTCCCAAGAATTGTATTGTACGTTAGCGTGCATGCCCAACAGATGTACAGTATTAAAGTATTGTATATTGATTCATTAATTTACATTACAGTATTTAATATCAAATCCTCATTCAGTTTTTTCTTGTTATCACTGAAGAAACATTGCTGTTCAAAACTTGGTTCAATTTTTTCTAGTTCACTAATTGTGCAAGCAGCATTGAAGCTTTAGAAAATACAATAGTTCTGTTTCACCTTGATACAATTTCCAAGTCACCTTCACTTTTCAATTTACTTTCAAACCATTTTTCACACTCTGAATAACTGGAGGGACAAATAAATTATGTGAGCCTGTGAATAGCTTTGATGCTGAGAAAAAGCAGACCAAGTTCACCAACTCAGAGTTGATTTCTGTTGTCACCAATATTTCCTTTATATTTTATATTATTTCCTTTATATATTTCATGAAGATTTGAAAACAGTCCTGTTCAAATAATGAAGGACCTCATTAAAATTTCAAACACAATGCTGATATTGAAAATATATAATGCAAATGTGATGTGAAGTAATGGTGCTTGAACAACAGGCATGAAGTTCAGAGGGTAAGGGGAAATAATGCTGTTGCACAATAAATTGCAAAAAATTCAATAATTTTCTGCTGAATGACCTCAAGCAATTTTCCACAAAATCAAGATTTGCACAATCATCATATGGCAAGCAAGGAAAGTGTATAATTTACTGCAAATTGCTACAAATACTAATAGAGATAATTTATTATTTGCAGAATGAGATCAATCAAATCATTTTCATTGAAAAGCCAGATTTAAGAGAAAAAAAACCTGGAAATTAACCAAAACAGAGGAAATATTTTACTCCACTTGTGTGTCTTGTAAATGATTTGAATTAAAATTCAAGTTGGATTATTTTTGTGTTTGGCTGATAAAAGAGACTGTTTTAATGTGACATTTTCCCTATGGTTTGCGCAATTTTTCAAGCTAGATTATGAATTATAATTAAAGCCCAGCAGCAAAAACCAAGTTTCACTCCTTTGCATTTTCCTAGTCCAATTTCGAACCTAATTTTGAGCTTAATTTAAAAGAAGGGAAATGTGTGTAATATGAGCGATAACTGGGTCACCTGGAACAAATTTAATCGCCTTCACCACCATGCTGCAAATTTACAGGAAATTCATTCTCGCCATTTCAAGTGGTGGGATAATAGCAGAAAATTTCTGAAATCAAAATTGTGGAGAAATTGCTACTCTGAATTTTTGTTGGAGCTAACTTGAGAGGTTTTCCTTTTCTTTTCAGAATAATTGGCGGATTGAAAAATGAAACAGAAATTTTAGCCTTTGATATAGACCAGAAATTTCCTAAGCAGAATTATAATTTTTTTTTAATTTTATATTTATTTATTTTATTCCTTTTTTATTTATTTCTGAAGTCCCAACAGAAAAACTCAGCAACTAGCTGTTTCACAGTGAATTCAATGTCCCACCTAAGACTACTGTCCTATTGCAAGATTTTTAATTTTTTGTAGATTTTTGGGGACGATTTTTGAAGTGCTTTTAGGTGTAAATTAGGTGATTTTAATACTTCTTGTTTGGCTAATGAAAATTTATTTGAAAAAATGCAACACATTACAGAGAGATGATAGAAGAGAAGATTCTGTTGAGGCCCTTCAGTGATTTCTCCTAGTTTCCTGAAATATCCTTTCATGAACTGGATCTAGATTTTAAAAATTCAGAATGATGATTCCACATAGAATGTACCAGGAATATCCCAAGTCCAAGAACAAAAAAATTTCAGAGCAACTGGAAAGTTGCATGGAATTTCATATTTCTTAAAAGTGAACATCAGTACAGTATTATGTTCTGATGAGCTATTGTGTAAACAAAAGTTCCCCAACCTTTTTGGGCCCACAAACCAGCAAATTTTCAGGAAACTTTTTGCAGACCAGCAAATTTCCATTTTCTGCAGGCTGGCTAATTTTCATACAATTTTTGCAGACTCAAACATTTTTTGCTAGAAAGACTTTCTGGCTCTTTTTTTCAAAAAGTTTCTTCTTTTTTGCAAAAATTGAATTAGGAATCAATGAAGCAGCTATAGTGGAATCTCTTTTTAAAAAATAGAAAAAGGGGCTGAAGAAAGGTTCCTCAGAATAGAAAAAAAAAATGATTTATTTCAGCGCATGAATATTGGTCTGTAGCTTTATTAGGGTAAAAACCATTTTTCACCTTTCATCAGATAATTTCAACTGCCTTTGTCTTTCCTAAATTGCAGATAAAGATAAGACTTCACATTACTACTTTTGATAAATTTATTACAGTATTTATTGAGGAAATTTCCTGCAGACTGGCAAAAACTTCACCACCATATTTACTCAAGCACAAGTGCAAGATGTGCACCTTGTTTTTTCTTTGTTGCTAAAATTTTGAAAAATGCACATCTCCAAAGCAGACATTTCTATGTCAGAAATTTAGACAGTTCCAAGTCAAAAATTTGCTATATACTCAAATGAAATGTGAATTGTTCATTTTCCCTGCTTATTTTATTTATTTTTTAATCTGAAATACTGTATTACATATGTCAGACTCATTTTGAAAAATTGACTTAATCTAATCAAATTTACTTTTCATTTGGAATTATATTGATAATTTTACATATTGTAGCTTATAAATGTTTTGAAATGTCATAGCAAAGGATGGCTTTTCTGGAATCACTCTGAAGCTGGATGAATTTATGAATGACATTTTTTCTCCTTTTTATTTGTTACAGGGCGTATGATGGACCAGGCACATGCATAACATATGAATCCATTAACCATGCATTCCATGAGGCCAAAAGCAGACTTGGACTTCCTGCTCCCAGCAAGCGAGACCTGTCCAATAAAGATGTGGGCCAGATCGCCAGAGTCGTTCTGGAGACATCTAGGATCATCTCCAGACAGTAAGAACAAAACAGGAAACCCTCATCTTTTTTTCCTTCATTTTCTCTTGTCATTATACTCATGAAATCTCATCACAAAAATCTCCAAGGACCCTAACAAATCATTATCAATGAAAAATCATGACTATGCAGAGATTATTAATAAAAAAATTCTCCTTCATTCCAAAATCATAAATAAATTACCCCAATCGAATGTTTTTATGGCCATACCACAATACATTACCAACAATAAAAACAACAAGGTTCACCATGTAGAAAATAATCTCACATAGTGAAATTTGTCTTTGTTAAAACATAAAAATAACTTGATCTAAAAAGACATTCAGACTTCATTCCAAATGCAGAATAAAATAATTTTTTGTGAGGAGATTTTACTGAGGTGCTAGATTATAAAATCATACATAGTCCATCAGTTTGTTAGAAAATTATGTGAATGCTGATCATATACAATATTCTGAAGTTGAAAATGGAGCAAGGATGATGGGATCTGGGAAACATTTTTTAAACCTTTTGAACATAGACAAATGGAAAATAAAGCTTGTATTTCAATGAATCAATACAACAAGGAATTCAGAAAAATTTATGCGTATTCTAGGAGTGGGACAATAAATGAGGTTTTCTTTTCTTTTCTCCACTAGGTATTCACTGCCAGCAGATGCCATCACAAATGGACTACCACTAATTGACACCACCAAGACAGTGATTGACCAATATTGCCCCTACTTCCTCAAGTTCCCAGCTTGTGAACCCAAAAGGTACAGGACCTACACTGGGCTCTGCAACAACCTGGAGAAACCCCACTGGGGGTCAGCCCAGAGTGCCTTCAAGCGCCTACTCCCACCAGCTTATGCAGATGGTCAGTTATCTTCATTAATATTCATTTTTTTCTGAAATTTAAATAAATCACAAATTTATTACTGATGTAAGAGCATATTGCATTCTTAATCTGTGTGACCATCAAACAATACAGTACATTATTGCTAATCAAAGTTTTTAACCACTATATGAAAAATGGTTTCTCATGAAGAAAATAGGCATCCTAAACAGGGGCAATAATCTTTCTTTCAAATTCACTGAGTAAATTCACATGAAAATTGATCTGAGTTTTTTCTTCATTTCAGACAGTTTAAGTTGAGACTTTATTTTGTAGTTGGAACTACGATGGTTTTACCTAATGAAAACATCATGCCTCAAATACAAATTTTCTTTTTCCTTTCAGCTCCTAATTTGCATAATAAATTTCTGATATTGCATAAATATTTTACTTTCAGTGGACTTACCATGATTTAAAAAAGAAATTCTTCTCCATGGAGGCTTCAATAGGAAAAAATGAAAAACAGTTGATCCAAATACTTGAGTATCAGAATCAGTGTTAACTGATATGTGCTTGTGACTTTGGCTACACATCCTACAGCTGAGCCTCAATAGCTGCTTCTTGTTCCACATTCTCACATTTTTGTGACCATCATTATTCAGTAATTTTAGTGCTGTGAGGCAAAGGAGAGCAACCACCACCTGTTGATGAAATTGGTATGGGGAGAAAAGGGATCAAAAGTAGTCCTCTTTCATAAATTTTCTCTTTCCATATGAGAGGCATATGGAAGAGAAACAGAAAAAAAGGTTTGAAGATAGCAGCTGTTCATTTTCTTGGTATTTTCTTCTTGGAAAAAAATATTTAGCCAACTTTCAAGCTTTGAATTTCATATGTGAACCTTGTTTAAACTATGATTCCACATAACTATGAATTTCCTCAACAACAAAAAAGAAATGATAATGTGGGAAACAGAAAAAAGGGGCTTAAATTGAATTTCAAATCTTCCTATCATGTGTGTCCAGAATAATGACAAAATCAAATCACACAATCTGCATTTGTAACAATAACACAGAGCCTAATTGAGGATAGTAGACCAAAAACATATAGCATTATGCAAACTTCACAGCTTTTGGATTCATTTTAATTTTTTGGAAGTCTCTGCAAGAAAGAAAAAACACAACATATTTATCTACAGTTGAACTTCCTCAAGTAAAAAATCTCCCTGATTTGAAGTTGCTGTTCAAAAATCCTTGGCTGATTCTCTTTACCCCATTGCAAGTCAAACCTCATTAACTTGAACATCCCATTTGGGTCAAACCTGCCAGTCAATTTGTAAGGCCTCTTTGTTATCAAATTGGTGCAAAATATTATAACACGTGTTCCAAAAAGAAGTAAAATACAAATGCAGATTATTATTTTTCTTTATTCTATAAGCCAAAGGGAATAGGCATCTTCCCAGCAAAGAATGGGGGCGTTGGGCTGCGGAACGTTTTGACATTGGCATTGGCAACGCCATTGCAGCGTCATTGTCCAAATGGGGCTGATTGCTGCCAATAATGCCCTTTGCTTTATTGACGTTGGGTGAATGCAATGACAAGGCATTTGCAATGGCATTCTCCCAATTCCTGCAGGTAGAACATCTATCAATAATGCACAGTTCCAATGGGGCTGATTGCTGCCAATAATGCCCTTTGCTTTATTGACGTTGGGTGAATGCAATGACAAGGCATTTGCAATGGCATTCTCCCAATTCCTGCAGGTAGAACATCTATCAATAATGCACAGTTCCTATATATTGAGGACAGAGTCTTCAATATAATTTGGTGTAGAGTGTTGGATAAATGAAACAAGTTGGTCAGTCCGGGACAGGACCGGGATTCCTATTAGGAATTCCTAGTTTAAACGATTAAGATATATTTCAGGAATAAACAGATAACAACAAATAACAACTCAACAAGCTCTGGCTTGGATAAACTGATCTAATGAGAGAATATGAGGATGCTGCTTATATAGTATTTGCAATCAGAAACCTTCATAAGGTTTTACCACTCTAATGGCGACAGGAAAAAGTAGTCATCAAAGATGCTACACACAGGAAAAGGTAGTCATTGAAGATGCTACATTGCCAGGTACATCCTGACACCGTAAACGGTACCAAGTTGTGCCTGGCACTGCAATTTTGAGGAAACAGGAAAAAGTAGTCATCAAAGATGCTACACACAGGAAAAGGTAGTCATTGAAGATGCTACATTGCCAGGTACATCCTGACACCGTAACCAGTACCAAGTTGTGCCTGGCACTGCGATTTTGAGGAGGGGAGGATAATTCTGAGAACTTTAGGTATTATAGTGTACGTTAGCGTGCATGCCCAATACAATAATTTGCCCAGAAACAGATGCAGATAATGTACTTTATCCTTTCCACAAGGGATGATTAGGCATCTTCTTGTAGGTGTAAAATTTTTGATGAACACTTTCAATGATTCCGTCAAAAAAGATAATAAGACTATCCAAAATAAAACCAAACTTCCTGGCTCTAAAACTCCCTTCATCAAATTCCTTTGACTCAGAGACTTTCAACTGCTACATTTGTTAATATGAATTCATGCTTCTTTTTTTTAAATTCTTGTTTCAGGTTTGGAGATCCCCAGAGTGAGTTATTCAGGAAGACCCCTGCCTTCTGCCAGAGTGGTCTCAGCTCACATGCACAGGGATGAAGGTTTCCATGACCATGCAGTGACTGTCATGCTCATTGCATGGGGACAGGCTATTGACCATGACATCACACTGGCTGTTGAGTCCAAGAGTGAGTGTTTTTTTTATCTTCAGAAATAAAGAAAGGAAAAAAAAAAGAAATTTGAAAAAAAAAATTTATCATGTGCTCTTATTCGTCACGGATGCTCTGCTGGGAGTTGTGATCAGCAGGGTGTAACTGAATCCGCTATTGAGCTTGTTGCAAAATCCCCCTCAGTTCCATACATCACCACTTTTGTCTTCTATAATGGGAAAGAAATGTCCTGCATTGATGAATTCTCACGCCAATTATAGTCATTTCATAAAGTGTCTTGAAAATATTTCAGTTTATTTCATGCCTTCAAAAACAGGAATGGAAAAAAATGCTGGAGCAGACAAGAGAAAAGAAATTTGTGATGAGATGGATGCTATATTCTTTGCAAGACATTTTTACTCCATTTTGATGCAGTCTGTAGATACTGTAACACAGTTTTTTTTTCATTTGGCTTCAATCCAACATGAGAGGTGGTGAAAGAATTTGCACTGTTTTCAAACTTTGGAGTTTAGACATAAGCTTTCAGCAAATAATAATGTGTACTCTTATTTAATTGTTCATCATTTTTGAAAGATGCCTAAACAAAAGAAGGAGCACAAGAAAGAACATTGTGAGATATACCAAATATTTTTTTATTAAGACTTTTCCTCTTTTTGATCCAGCCTAAAACATTTTCTCTCTTCAGATGGCTTCAATAGAATATACAATTTGATAAATAAAATTTAAAACTTTAAACTGAGCTTTTGAACAAAATGGTTCCATTTTTAAGTTAATCCTGAAGAGCTGAATTCAGTCTGAAATCCAGTTTTTTTTTTCTTGTCTCCACCTTCCTAATCATGGTTACTATGACCATTTGGATGAGCCTACATATTAAAAAAAATGTATAGTGAGGCATTTTCAATGAAGTTGCAATTTCTCAGTTTGAGTACATGCAAGCTTAAGAGATGAATTTTTCTTCAAATGTAATGAACATAATAATTGGCATTGTGTTGAAAATTTTACACATAATGTGAAATAGGTATTTGAAATGCAATTGCACCTTGCAAAAATTCAAATCTCCAAAAGTAAAAAACATCTCTATGGTAAGTTTTGTTTCATCCATATGCCTCTGTTTCCCTGGTAACAATTCAAGATTAAATTAACCTCACAATGACTCAAAGATTTTCCACACAAACCTTTTACAATTGGAATTTTTATATGCTTTTGGGGTATTATACTTGGAGGACTGAGAAACAAGAAGAGCAATAAAAAAATGTAACTTTATGCTTTTGACAAAGGAGGTGAGGGACCAATTTTGCAAATGTACTCTTGCTCTGAATATAAGTTGGGCATTCTGTCAACTTATTTATCCAGTCATTGGAGGCCTAGAATATAAGATCACATACTGTATTTTTCTTTCTTGTAATTTTAAATGTGTTGTCTGCAAAAATAATGGTCAAATTAACTTTTGAAAACTCTTCAAAGTGAAAATAAAAATTGTCTGGGTCTGTCTTGATTTTTAGTTGGAGAAATTTGCCAAATACTGGGTCCACAACTCTCAGGGCCACTCTGTATAAGGACTTTTTTTTAAAGATTGCAACTTAATTTATTTTACTGATGTGATGGCTTATTTTTTTTTACAGGGTCTGATGGAGAAGACCCCAGGTGTTGTGACAGGGACACAAAGCATCCTGACTGTTTCCCCATCGCAATCCCAGCCCAGGACCCATTTTACTCCCTCTTCAACAAGAGGTGCATGAGTTTTGTGAGGAACTTGCCTGGGGCACAGTACTCCTGCAAACTAGGTGAGTTGCTTGCAGTCATTCACTGCATGGCTATATATTCATTCAATCAGACAAGCCTAGGAAAATTGATGTCATCAATGCTATTTAGAAAAAAGAAGAATAAGACAAAATAGAGAATTTTTTTTTTTAGCCACAACACCTGCTGGAAAATCTGCTACTCTACTCAGTCAGCCTGACCCAACAGCAGTCCTGGGAAAAAATCCCGTTTTACTAGGGAGGGTGGGAAAGAATTGGGCTCACCACCTGTTGCCAGAAATGGTCTTTTTATTTCCTGTTCTTTTTTCATTATTTTTTTTAATCCATTCATTCATTTGTTGATGTGGTGTGAAGAAGAGAATCTTTTTCTTGTCACAAATTGCACCCAATTTATGACAAAGCTCAGCAGAAGAGCATTGAAGTAATTTCAATTTCAAGAAGAGCATTTTTTTTAGCTGATACTGGCTCATGCAGTGAAGTCTTGCTACAACAACAAAACAAAGTTGTTTGAGACCTTGAAAAAAAGCAGCTTTCCTACCAACAAGAAAATTTTAATTTTGATAAACTGATTTGAGTAAAATCAGTTTAATGCTGGGACCATAAAAACAATTTATTCAAATTCATTACAGCCAATTTCTTCAATAGTCTCTCTCTCTCTCTCTACAGGGAAAGTCAAAGGATCAGCAAAATTCGTTGTAGACAGAATTTCGTTGTCCATATTTTTAATTTTACGATTTTTGTTCTCCTATGAGACTTAATTGATGCAAAAAAAAAATTGAGTTACATGAGCCTTCATAATGAAATCATATAAAAATAATTCGCTGTAACAATAATTTCTTTACATACATGCTGATGAAAAAATAAACTCCACTGCACTTCTTTCAAAGCCGCAATTTCGGCAAGAACCAGTTTTTAAAAACCTTTTTTTTTTTTTTAGAAAACCTGTCCGAAAAAATGCTCTAAAAAGGGGTCATGGGGATTCCGCCGCTTTATTAGACACGATTATTCATCGCTGATGGTTGTAACATCAAGCATATTTATTCATTGACGAAAAATTAACGGTCATAACAGAATTTTTTTTTCCTTCATCAATGTCGAAACTTGAGACTCCTTTTGGAGTGTCGTATTCTGGTCGCCTAATTTCTTTTTTTTTTAAAGAAGAGAAAAATAATAATAATACCGTAATAAATAGAATAATTATAATTTTTTTAGCCGGGTCAAGGAGTTTATTCCGGTGGGCTTTCTTATAAATAAAACATCACTTTCTAACCTTCGTAGGTTCAGGAAAGGGAGAAACTGAGTGCTGTATTTATTAATATGAGTGAGTGTCCTGTTTACATATTTTTCGTCCGAAATCAGAAAATTTTATGCTTGGTGGGGTTCAATTCGAAAGTTCCAGGGGTTTTTATTTCGTGGCTGAATGTAATTTTTTCCGCATCATGGTTAAAAATAAAAATAAAAAACTCGCGCTATGGTAAAATTTTTCTTCCACTTTAGTTTCTTTTGAAAGAAAATTTCTTTCTGGAATGCAAAAAAAGAGATCTCAAAATGTTGCCATAATTTCATCTGTACACAATTCCCTACTCATTATGTGCATTTTACAACAGTTGAAAAGATTAATTTATGAACTGAAAATGATCAACTTTGTTTCTAAAGGAGCAAAAATTTAGGAGAAGAAAAGTGAAATCAGTAAAATATTGTTTCAAAGCAGTCACTGGTACCAGGAAACTGCTTTTCAATGAAAATTCCTTATAAAAATTCAAATAAGATTGTCACTATTGAACAGGATTCTTTTTTTAAAATTGTTGTGAGCTATTATGATGAGATTTCACTTGTTGTAATTTTTAACAAGTTTTTTTATGTGTATGATATTCCTCATAAAATTCAAATAAGATTGTTCCTCATGGACAGGATTCTGTTGACAAAAATTGTTGTAAGCTATTAAAATGAGATTCCACTTGTATTATTCTATTTGTCATTATTATCATTATTTTTCTACTCTTCCAAAAAAAATTAGGCTTTAATGTTTTTTAAAAAAATGGTTGCTCACAATAACGTCATTCTTGAATTATTTTCCAGTTGAATGGCCAAAAATCGTTTTTCAAATTGCTCCAAAACGAGTTTGTTCTTGCAATAACTGAGCAGTTTTAAATCAATTTTTTGTGTGAAAGATTTCACTGTATTTCCTTTTTGAAGCTGAAATGCATTTTTTGAATAATGATAATTTCATGATGGTGGAATTTTTTTCGCAACCGCGTGAATATAAATGAGCGTTTCAAACAATCCTGAGAAGGGCTGCCATCATGATTTATTTCAAGTTTCAGAAACTTCTGCGTAAAACTTTTGATTTAAATGGGTTCCTTTTCGAAGTTTCCCGCTCATAAATCGCAAAGAAACAGCATTCTTCGGTGTACAACTGACGCATATTTGAATCCAAAGGATTCAACATTGAGGCATAAAATTGTTTTTATTGATAAAATGATGGAAATGAAAGTGACGTGTTTTCTTTTTATGATGGAAGGTCATCCAAATTTTCCCAGTGCCACATTTTTTATTTTTAAAAATGCCTGGTAAAAATTACAAGTAGAATCTCATTATAATAGCTTAAAACATTTTTAAATAGAATCCAGTCCAATACTGACAATCTTTTTTGAATTTTATAAGGAATGTCTCATAAAAATTTCATAAAAAATGCCTGGTAAAAATAAAAGTGGAATCTCATTATAATAGCTCACAACAATTTTTTTGTTAATAGAATCCAGTCCAATACTGACAATCTTATTTGAATTTTATAAGGAATATATCATTAAAAATGCCTGGTAAAAATAAAAGTGGAATCTCATTATAATAGCTCACAACAATTTTTTTGTTAATGGAATCCTGTACAATAATGACAATCTTACTTGCATTTTTATAAGGAATATCTTGTTGCAACAAAGTTCCCTGGGTCCAGTGACAGCTTTGTAACAATAATATTTTACTGATTTCAGTTTACTTCTCCTGAATTCTTGCCCCTTTAGAAACAAAGTTGATCATTTTTAGTCCATAAATTAATATTTTTCTCAGCGCATTTTTCAACTGCTGTAAAATCTACATAATGAGTATGAAATTGTGTGCAAATGAAAGAATGGCAAGAACTTTTTTTTCAAAAGAAACAAAAGTGAAGGAAAAATCCCTCCAAAAATGTTTGGAGACACCAATGCAAGGAATAGAACAATGTATTTTATAGCTTTTTTATTTGCTGGTATGGAATACAGTACTTTATTTTATGGTTCCCTTGCCATACTTTTATTATGATTGAATCATGAAGAAATACTTTGCAGTTGCCTTGAATATTGATGTCATTCTTTCAGACACTATTTTCTTTTACAAATGAATCTGAAGTTTTTTTTTTTAATGTGGTCAACATTAAAGCTTAGAATGAAAAAAAGCGTTTCTGAAGTAAATTTGCCTAATCTTAGAAAAATTTTATTTATATGCAAAGAGGTTTTGATACAGTTATCTTCTATGATTATAAAAAATACTGTTGTCAAGCTGAGGTTTCCTCCAAAATATGTATTTCATTTGCCTAATCTTAGAACAATTTTATTTATATGCCCTTTGCTATTCCTACCTCTTATACATGCACCATTTACTGGACACACTACAATAAAAACCTCCCCAACTCAAAGTATTTTTCTCTCAAATCTCTGTAAGCCAAATTTTCTGAGGCCTTTTTGGTTATTTTTTCCATGAAATATGAAAGAGAAAAATCAGCAAAACAA